TGCCTAACCCCACAGACTCTGCAGGAACCTGCAAGATAAAGCTAGGCAGCAGTGCCAGGCAGGTACTTGGAAACTGGAAAAAGAGAGCGGGCTTACAGCTTGGGCTCTGCTCCTCCTCGGGTCCAGTGTTTCTCCTTCAGAACAGCACTTACCAGAAGATCACCTCCTCCAGGCCTGGCGACCCCATCTGCTCTGCAGATCCTGTCCTAAGTGAGAGGATCCGGATGTCCCATGGAAGAAATGCTTTAATGAAGCAGTATATCATCGTTCTTTCCCTGGTGGGACTTTGCCACAGAGGTCAACTGCAGTGGATCGTCCTGCTCCCAGCACTGGTGCTCTGCCTGGCCCTGGCATACTGGTGAGGCCTCTTTCTCCAAAGCACCATACAGTCACACCTACTAGTGCACAGCTAGCTGCTAGGATGGTGTTCTGTGTTTCTGGGGTAGCCCTACTTCATTTTCTATGGCTGCTGTACAGCAGAAAGTAGGGGATCAGGTAGACGGGGTGGAAGAGGAAGCGATAAGGAAATGAATGGCACCAGTGGAAGGAACACTGTATTTGTCTCAGGTTAAGAAAAAAGTGAAGTCCCCACCTGATCAGCCAAAAATCAAGGGATATATTATTGAGAACATGCCTGTTCTTATACGAATACGAAAACATTTGCTTTCCAACCGGTATTATCCCAGCACCACAGAGGAGTTGACAGACTTCCAAAGGCCCAAAGAGAAAGCATGAGGGTGTGTAAAAATGTCACTGTTTGGGGACAGATTGTCACTAGCCCCGTGCTGCCTCACTTGGCATTGTGCTGCCACAGCAAGGTACCCGTGCCTTGCCTGCAGGGGCATCCTCCCCTGCCAGCCCTGCCTGCCCCTGCCCAAGGCAACAGCCTGCCTTCCTCAGGAGCCCTGCAGTGACAAGGCATTGGTTAGAGAAGGAGAGGTCAAGAGGGTTATATGGGTCCATCAGGCCATAAGGAGGTGTATGCTTTACCATGACGAATGTACTTATACAACCCAGTTCTCTGCCATAGGAAAGAAGCCTCTTTTCTTCTTACTAAGCATAAGTGCATTTGTCAGTGTACAATAGACATCTCTGTTTTTTTTCCCTGACAACAGTCAGCTACCTTTGTAGGTTCATACCATGAGGCTCTCACATTGCTTTCACTCCTCTGAACTTCACTGCCAGGCTTGCCTGCTGTTTGGTTCCCCTTGTTGGGCTGGATTTACGGTGTTAAGCCTCCTTAGCATAAAGCAGGAACAAATGCAGTGGATAAATCTGAATACTGGAGCTGTATCAAGTTGTGCTCTTCAAGGCGTCTTAAAATAGCAGTCCCATTGAGTAGGACTGTGAGCAAGCAGCACCCCCAAGCATGTGCTGCCTTGGCTGTGTACTAGAACCGTAGATCAGAGAGCAGTGTTAGACACCTCCGGAGTCCCTAGAAAGAGCACAGCTGGAAGGATGGGCAGCTGGAGTCCCTTGGTCAATGGGATTGCTCAGCCAGAGGATACTCAGGCAGCCAGGAGTCAGGAAGTCAGGAAGGGGAGGCTGACCTTGCCACCCTGATGGCCAGGAAGCTCTGCCATACACAGAGTTAGGTAAGGACTCTCAGCTTTCCTTCCTCTCAGTAGAATAAATGGAATATAAATATAAATGGAATAAAACTGACATTCAAATAAGTGTCTCTCTATATATGTATATGTGTATTTAAAATCCATATCCATTTATATGTGTGTTTGCTTGAATTGTGCAGTGTTAGCTTGTGACAGATGTAGAGATGCAGCAGTGCTCTTCCAGATTGTACATGTTGCAGAGCTTATTGATAAGCGGACACAGCAGGTGGTAGCTATAGAAATCATAGACCCTGAGGAAGCAGAAGATGAAATAGAAGATACACAGCAAGAGATAACTGGTTTAAGTCAGTGTGATAGTCATTATGTAATTAAATACATGGATGTACAATTAATAAATATGGATCATATTTAAAGGGCACAAAACTATGGATAATAATGGAATACTTGGGTGGAGGGTCAGCTTCTGCATGCTGGCCCGTTTAATGAGCTACCAGATTGCTACCATGCTAAAGGAGATCTTTAAAGGTCTTGACTACCTACACACAGAGAAGAAAATCCACAGGGACATCAAAGCTGCCAATGTCTTATTGGAAGATTCCTAATCATATTCCTGTGTTCCTATAAAGATACTCTTGTGCATGCAAGACACTGAAGTATTTTTGACTGGGTGACTATGAAAGGCATGACCAGGTAAATCTGCAGTTATCTCTGGAAGTAAGACTATGTTGAAGCTGAAGTACAAGATGCACGCCAGGTTTACTGTGTCTCCTAGCAATGGAAACATGATACAAAGGTATAGATCTGTTTGTATTATGGAACTGTGCTGTTTAAGCTGTATTCCCCAGTGTGGCTCACCTCAACCTCATCATTTGTCCCCATGCTCCCTGAGCTTGCTGCAATGGATCTGTGCCGGCTGCACTGATGGCCTCCAGGAATGACAGAGTACCTCATCTTTTCCCCACTGCGCATCCAACAGACTTGGAAGCTCAGATGCCTTTGAGGTCAAAACTGCTAGATGTATGTTAAACACATACATAGAATTCTTGTCATATTGGGACACTACATAACGTTTTCCTTGGCTGAGCTTTCCACCTTATGCTTTTAACGAACAGAAGGGACAAACCTTGCTCAGAGGCAACGCAGCCAACAGGGGCAGGTGGCCTTTTAGCATCCCTCCTGTGTGCCTTCTGCTGCTGCCTTTGGCATCCTCCTGGTGGAGCCAGGAGCCAGCGTGACCTAACACAACCCTCAGGTCATTCTGCAGAGGGAAAATGCTACTGGGGAAAGGAAATGGGAAGCGGAGGCAGCAGATTCAGTGGGGATGGGATCTGAGCACAAGCACTCAGTGAAATAGGTCTCATGGACAGCAGGGAGAAGTAGGCAGGATGTAAGACCCATGGAGAGAGGGCACCCACAAGAAATGTATAGAATAGACATCAAAAGCTGGAGTTCCCAGTTTCATTGCTAGGGCTCCCAAGCATGTACAAAGTTATCATCTCCAAGAGGAGAGGTTAGGCTCTGTACAGCAAAACCAGGGGGAAGCTGTGGGAAAATGGTACATGGGCTTTATGCATTAGCAGCAGTCTTTCATTCCTGCATCTGCTGTGCTGATTAGCTGCAGTGCTTGCACTGTGTTGGTTTGTTGGGGTTTGTGTGTGTGCAATTGGCACATACCACAAGCCAACTCCAAGCCAGCAGTGATAGCTTTGCCTCTCTAAATTTAAACGTGTTTATTGAGCTCCTGCAGTTGGAGCTTTGGGGACAAGCCTGATTCCAGATCCTACACTGTCAGCAAAGCACTTCAGAGGGTGTTTGAGGTTAAACTGAGACTTGTTGACAGAGCATCTCTGTTCTCCCTTCCTCAAAGAACTCCAGTTAAAAGGGACATCAGATTTGTCAGCTAGGCGGCAGAAGCGTGTTTCAGCTCGAGGTCTTCATTAGCAGACAGAAAAATGACACCTCAGTCTTTCCATAACACACCAAGAGTGCCTTTGTGAGGCAGTAATACAGTGAAAATACGTACTTTAAACTCTTCTTTCTCACTTATTGCCTTTGAAGAGTGGTGTGGAAGCAGACAGAGCTCTGCTCAGCATCCACTCACTGCCTATAGGAAGGAGCCATGAAGTAAGGTGAGACACAGAAAGGGGTTCTCAGCAGTACCTGAGCTATGATCTGTGGAATCCCCATCTCTGCTACACGACAGCATGGCCAGATCTTACACCTGACAGAACAGCCTTATGGAGAGGATGAACGTGTACAGTGGAAGCATTCACGCCATTGAACCAAAGCAGCACACAGTTCCCTGCTCTCCTCTCCCTGGCACATCACTACATCCACACACTGTATACTGAGCACTGTTGTGCTGTTAGGTCCCTCTCAGTTAAACTGCTTTCTCTGGTAAGTGTTGACCATTCAGAGCAGTACATGCATGAACAGACTAAACTGTATGCTTGTGTAGTGTGACTTCAGCAATGTCCTTAAGCCTGCATGAAGAGTACAAAATCCTCCTACACCATGCCTACATTAACTGGTTACACAGCTGTAAGTGCTAACAGAGAATGACTCGTTTCTATCTGATGTGCAACAGGCACTTCGAGACGCACAGATTACACTTCAAGGAAGGGTTTCACAAGCAAAGCAACACATTGCAAAACAAGCAGAGCAACAGTGGAAAGCCTATCTTCTGCTTTAAGTTCTGTTTACTACTTACTGGTGTATGGCAACCTTCGTCATTGCTAGAACTGGTTATCGCCCCAAACTGCTGCTCTGGGGCAGTTCCTCTGCTCTCCTTAGCAAATAACAACAGGCACAAGCCCTGCTGAGCGCCCTTGTCCCATGCAGCCCTTTGTCTGCCAGCCCTAGGTTCAACAGATCATTCCCAATCAGCCCAGTTATCAGTTACAATGATGACAGTCGGTATTCATCAATGCATTGCAGCACAGTCACTGAATTCAATGCCAGTTGTACCTACCGGACTCCAAGGATGGTATCAAGCGGTGAACCCGTGCTTGTCGCGATCCATGAGGCCAAGCCGTGCGGGTACAGCGGGGCTCCTGTGGCGATGGGCCGGGCGCAGCTCGGAGCCGCTGCCCCTCCAGGGATACCTCAGGTCCCCTGCACTACAACTCCCAGGATGCAGCTCGGCCGCCGCCCCGCGCACGGCCCCGATTGGCTGGCGCAGGGGATGCCGGGACTTGTAGTCTGCGGGCGGGGCAGGGGCTCCGCTCCGCGCCCGCGGCTCCTGCCGGCCGGGCCGGGTTAGGCCGGGCCCCGCCGGGCTCAGTGTGCCGTGGAGCGGCCGGGCCGGGCCCAGCCGGGCTCAGTGTGCCGTGGAGCGGCGGGGCCGAGCCGCCTTCGGTGAGGTTCGTCCGGCGCGGTTCGCTGGCTCCTTTCCCGCCTCTGCTCAGGGCTCCCCGCTCCTCCCCGCGCAGGGGGAAGGCAGCGGGGCAGAGCGGCGGCGCTGCCCGGCCGAGCACCACCATGCTGGAGTCCATCCGTGTCACCGGTGAGTACCGGCCCCGGCGGCCCTCAGCCGGGCGGGGCAGCGCGCAGGTAACCGGTCCGGCACGGAACAAGACCCGTCCGAGGGGGCGCCGAGGGGTTCCGGGGGCGGAGGGGCCCTGCGGGGCGAGGGGCAGGGGACGCGGATGAGGATGGTGATGAAGGCGCGCCTGGTTGTGCCAGGCGGCTTCCCCACCGCTCTCCTCACCATGCGGTCAGAGTCGTTAACAGAGCCCGATGGTGTGTGCATAGGAAAACTGGTGTTGGGGCTGTGTTTATTATGGGTGACATGCTCCAGGTGGCCCTGCCTTAACGGGGGGGTTGGACTAAATCATCTCCAAAGGTCCCTTCCAACCCTAACGATTCAGTGATTCTGCATGCATGGTACATAGGAAAACCTTCAGTACAGCTGGGACCAGTGATTCTGCATGCATGGTACATAGGAAAACCTTCAGTACAGCTGGGACCAGTGATTCTGCATGCATGGTACATAGGAAAACCTTCAATAGAGCTGGGACCAGTGATTCTGCATACATGGTACATAGGAAAACCTTCAATAGAGCTGCTGCTGCAGAGTGTTTTCACTGGGATCAGTGATCCTGCATACATGGTACATAGGAAAACCTTCAATAGAGCTGCTGCTGCAGAGTGTTTTCACTGGGATCAGTGATCCTGCATACATGGTACATAGGAAAACCTTCAGTACAGCTGCTGCTGCAGAGTGTTTTCACTGGGATCTTCTCCTTGTTTAGGTTTGATGTAATTTCCAAGCAGAACTACAGGCTGAGGAGACTGCACTGGGAGCAGCCAGGAGTGGGTCTTGGGGGTATTGGTTGATGAGAATCCCACCCTGCAGTGACACTGGAATAGCTGCATGTATAGAGATGAACTTACCTTATGGGGCAGCACAAACACACCGGATCTGAAGAGGGGTGGAGTTCCACTCTGGCCCAAGACAGATGGAGTTTCCATTGAACAGGAGGGTTTTCTGTCCTTTCGTACTCTAATGATGGCAGAAAAGGGGAGAGGCAGCTCTTCTGCCCCTCCTTCCTGCTTCCTCACATCATCACCTTCCACATCTCATTTAGCAATTCACCCATCTCTAGGATCTATGTTGTTATTCCTGCGTTGTTGCAGAGAGGAACAAGCTATCATTACATGGAAGTAAACCTAATGGGAAAGCTTTTGGGGAGAGACTATGCCTGTGTTATAGTGAGGGTTTTTAACTTGCAGAATTCTGAGTGATGAAGGCAATCTGTGTACATACATGGCATGATCTGAGGGAGGTTCCCAAAGGAGGCTTGGGCACTTGCTCTTTGACGCTTTCCTGCTGCAAAATCTGACCTGTGTGAAGTCAGGATGGATGAGATACAAAAGGTAAAAGCTACATGCTCTGTAGCATGATGTGCAGGACAGTGTTATACAACAGTGCAATGACCTTCATTTTCATCCCTTTTACAAGTAATCTGTTGATGCCTGTTCTGTGGCATCCAGATTTTACACGATGGAAATCAGTGCTAGCCAATCTGTGTAATGAATGGCAGTTGATAATCCTTTCTCCACCAGGCTGCTTTACAGCAGTATGACACCTCAAGCATGTTTTCAGAACACGAGCTGTGCAGTGAATGGGGCTTATACTCACAATACTGGACCCCTGTTTCAATAACCGGGCATTGACCCTTGAAAACTCCTGGATATAGCTGAGTAAGTTGGGTTTCCTGGAAGACAGTGTGCTTTTAGTGTGGTTGACGTGTCTCACTGTTGGAAATGATCACTACTGCAGATTAAACTGATGTACTGGAGAAAGAACTTTCCAGTTTGCCCATTTGCAACATGATTTTGACATCATCTCAAACGTTATTTTCTAGTTTATTTGGTAAAATAATGATGTGCACAGGACTGAGTTAAGTGACTGATGTGAAAAGTGCAGTTATTTAATCTAATCTCTCAAATGCAGTGGATTAGCACCGGGCCTGGGTTTCCAGCACAGATATGCATCAAACTGCATCCTCCTTTAGTCAGGAGACATGCTTAGCTTGGCAGCTGAAAAAACACTTTGCTATGAGATTGCCCATACAAAGTAAGTACAGAACTGGGGACAACTGTTTCTGATACCAGCCCTGTGCACATGGAACCTGCCAGCGCTTGTGTTCAGCACTTGCCCCCCACTGGTGACACTGGCAGGGGATTAACATCACTGACTCGGGATACTCGGTCACAGGAAATGATCTAGCCATAACTGCACTTATTACCAGCCAACTACACTTGTTACCCCTGAAAGCTTACCATCACGAGATCTTGGTCCTGGACCAACACAAGAGTTGGGGGATGCTAAGGTAACTTTGAGTGGTTTCTTTGAATTCTGTTTTCTATTGATCGCTTCTGAGATGCAAGTGTGGTATTAATTCAAACCATTCCTGGTGCATAGCAGTTTGATTGCTTAGTAGAGAAGGGGAAGCACTACCACTGCTGGCATTAGGGTTTGATTGCTTAGTAGAGAAGGGGAAGCACTACCACTGCTGGCATTAGGGTTTGATTGCTTAGTAGAGAAGGGGAAGCACTACCACTGCTGGCATTACGTGATTACCTTGCCTGGTTTCAGAAGTGGCTGTGATTTCCTGCTTCAGTTTTGTCTCCAGAAGCAGTCACATGCTCAGAAATTTAACATTTCTGTGCTCAGCTGTCCTGGAAACCTTGCTTTTCATTTGCCCTTCAAAGTAAGGGGGCTCCTATGACAATAACTGGGGGAGGTCTGAAGTCCATCTCAAATCCTTGCCAAGGAATAAAGTGAGAGCAGCCATCCTATTCTGTTGCCTCGTTTCCGGGTAGGTGTTTTGATACTGGGATGGGAACTGTGGTTTCTTACCACGACCGCTCGTGGTAAAGCAGGATAAGCCATGCAGGCAGGGGGTCACGTATGTGATGAGAACAACCTGACAGAAGTGAACAGGAATGCCAAGCACTACACCAAGAATAGAAAGAGAACTCGCAAGCTTACCTTGCACAAGACATGCATGCTTTGGGGAAAGCAGTAATGCTTCCGTCTCTCTCTTCCCAGTGGAGGAAACACCCAGGCTGCAGATTCCCATCGTGTGTCCGTGCAAACAGGACCTCTGTCTTTGCTTTTTGGGGCAGCATCTTCATGAGAACTGAGGAACACAGACGGACATGGACATGAACACAGAGAGCATGAAATACCTTGTCATGGTGCTTCTCTTGGGAGCAAAACCTAATTTCACTGGGAAAAGAAAGCTGAAATTAAACTGCTATTGAGGTGGTTTTTTTCCCCTTGGAGGCATTAAATGATCTTTTGCTAATGTTCCACTCAGAGTGGAATTACTGGATGTAAAGTAATTACAGCTCACCTATGTAGAACTGTGGGCTGCAGCTCAAATCCCCTTTGCGGCTGTCATCAGACTCTGGCCATCCCTCCTGTTCACTTGAGGTGCCCAAGTCAGAAGCGTTTCTCTGTGGCAGGGTCTGTTTGTGCCCTTACTTTCAGCTGTCCTAATGTTGTAGGGTGAGCGGATTGAGGGGAGAAGGGATGGGTAGAAGCAGTGAGGAGAGGTCCCTTGTCTCTAACAAAGCAGCACAAGTGTCGAGTACAGTTTTAATCCTCAATGACTTTTCCATGCAGTTGCCCTGCACCAGGGACCCGTCTCCCCTGAAGGCTATGCCAGGGTCAGAGCAAGAAAGGAGGATTCATTCATTAAAGGAACCTTATTCTCTTCTTGTCCTCAGTTTGGTTTGCAGTGTTGCTTCTCAAGTGCTTGCTTCAAGGCAGCTGTTGTTTTAGAACAGCATCAAATAGATGGAACAGCAGCATTCATTGCCTTAAGGATTCTGAGGGCTGTGTTTGTAACTGGCTGACCTCTCTCCTCTTTAAATATACCTTATTGTCTGTATTAAGAAGGCATACATCAAACTGAAGTCTCTTAAACTTCCCCTACAGTTTGTATGGTGGTGCAAGTCATTCACAGCGGCTGGCTCGTTCCTCTGTGCTCATCCTTTCCCAGAGTGAATTCTGTGAGTGAGATTTTGCAGCTAAGCCCACTCCAGACTGCTGATAGCACAGCACAGATCCCCGTGGCACTTCACTGGAAATACTGCTCACATACTCCTATTTCTAAAGCTACTCTTCATCCATATGGAAAGGCTTCCTTGCATGGTAAAGATCAAGCAGGTTTTGACTGAACATTGGTTAATATAAGAGTAAATACTCATAGTGTCCTACACAGAGCCTTGTTTTAACCAAGTTTGTTCTTAGCTCCAAATAGCGCGCTCGTACATGGAGATCCAAGCATAAAATACTTGTTTAGCTGGATCTTACAGATCCGGAATTCCACAGTTCTCCCCTAGGTCAGGAAGTTAAGAAGCACTGGATGTGACTGCAGTTAAACCAAGGCTTGTGTTTCATTCATGTTGCACTTTCCAGTCCCTAGGGTTAATATTGCTGCATGGAACAATTCAATTTGTCCTTACTTTTATTCTTTTTCCCCCTCTTCAATGCAGAAAAACTTCACTGGCGTAAAACAGAGCTTTCCAAGAAATCCCTCCTGAGACCAGCAGAACATAAAGTGAGCATCAGTGACGAGAGCAGCCTCCAGCACCCGCCCTCAGGGGTCCTCAAGGACATTTTCACCACAGGAACGAGTAGCTACAATGTCCTTCTGCAGAGCAAGGAGGAGAAAAAGCACCACGCTCCGAAGCAGCCCTCTGCTCACAGGAAACACAGAAAGACCACCAAGTGTTCCACCGCCTCCCGAAGCAACGAGCACCCCAAAATCAAGGCCCCGCTACCCTTGCTCAGCCCTGGCTGGTGCTGCACCAGCAGACAGGCCCCCCTCATTGTCACCAGCCCGGTGTCTACCAGCATGAAGTTCACCAGCAGCGTTTCGGTTGCAGGGAGCAGCATAGGGCTGCCACCTCGACCCAAAAGTAGAACTAAGAGGCACTGGAGTCTAACAAAGCCAAAGCAGTCCCAGGCCTCCAAAAGCCATGCTAAAGAAGGCGATGCCTGTGGCCGAAAGCTCTGTTTACTGACTGCAATCAAGCCTTCCAACGTGGAGAAAGAAAAGATTCAATTCTTCAACTCGGGTTTTACATACAACCCTCAATTTGAGTATGAAAACCCTGCTCTGCCAAATGTGCTAGCTAAGCACAGCCATGCATCCGACAGGTTCCTGAAGCAGGTATAGTTACTGGCTTTCCTCCTTTTCCACTGATGAGTTTCTCCTACCCCTGTTAAGGTGGTGTTTGGCTTCGTTTGTGGCAAGTTATTTCTCCTTAACATCCTCCCCTGCTGTTTGAAAAATGCATCAAAGAATACAATAGTAGTACATATAATATGTAGTAATATATACTATATTAGTAGTATAGGAACATATTATCAATATATAGTACATAATATATAGCAATATATAGATAATAATACTGAAATAAAATAGATTTTATTAAAAAAGGAACCCCTTCCTAATATTTACAGGATCCTCTAGGGTAAACACACAGTTCCTTTTAACTGGGTTTACATGTAACATGATCTAAGGCAAGAAAGCTTTTTAGGCAACGAAGCAGAGTGTAATACAGGGAAAATACAATGCCTAAACAGGCTTTAGAAACCCTGCCAGTCCTCTTGGTGCCCCAGGGGTTGGGAGGGGACAGCAGTTATCTGAGGTCATGGTTACTGGGTAAGCAGATGTTGGTGTTGCTTGTTTTAATCAGCTTGGAAAGGATATTTGCATATACACGAGGCCAGCTTGGAAAGGATATTTGCATATACACGAGGCCAGCTTGGAAAGGATATTTGCATATACACGAGGCCAGCTTGGAAAGGATATTTGCATATACACGAGGCCAGCTTGGAAAGGATATTTGCATATACATGAGGCTCAATCGAGCAGCAGACAAATTCCATTCCGGAGAGGGGTTAAGTTTAAACAGACCTCTCTCCCCAGCCCAGTACTATGCAGCCACATTGGTAACATAGATGCAGACATTCCTGTTACTGTGTTGCCTGGGCTTCCTTCCCATCTTTGAGTTACAAACCCCCCCACACCAAGAGCAAGACCTTGCTTTCAACTTTGACCCAAGGGACAAAACCCAGTGCTTACCTGTATAACAACAGAAGCAGTCCTCCTCCTGCTGTTGCCATTTTTAAATGGCTTATAAAAGGAATGACTTAAGGCTGATCATCTTTGCTAGAGCATCTCATGTTTCTGGTGATTCCCTGGGAGGAGATCCTGCCTTTCCACGGGTTTCACTCCTTTGTGATATGAGGGTTTCACTTAACCCCTCCCCAAAACACACGGGGAAAAAGATAACATGAATTAAAGTACCATGGATTCTAACAACTGCCCCTTGGCTTGTGAAGAGTGCGACTTTCTCACATCCAAGAACACAGGTAGGTGTTACTGCCCCTTCTATTGTAAGGCTTGGTTTGTGTTTTCCCTCAGTAGCTGGGTTTTCTTTGTGAGAACAGCCTGTTCTGTACTTCAAACCCGCTTCCAGATTTCTAAACAACCCCCTAAATCACACCGACACCAAATAGGACTGCCCCCTTTACAAGTCTGCCTTGGAGTTAGATAGCACTATTAGCAACAGTGATCATATACATATACATAATTCATATACAACAGCGAAGCAGCAATAACTAATATAGCAAACTGATTAACACAAATTACCCTGTTTAGTAGGAGGCAGCAGAGCCTTAAAAGTTATCTCATCCAAGATGGTTTCATGGAACAGGCCTATCATTAACTTACCCTTCTTTTAACAACACAATAACACACACCCCTAAATAACGGATATTCTATTAATGAGGGATTCCTCAGTATTATTCTGTTACTCTTTTCCCCTTTAAATACAAAGCATGGGAAAATAAAGGCTTTATAACAGCTATAAAACACAATGAAGGATTGAATACTCAAGGAGCTATGATATTTCTGAGACTTCCTACAGAGGACGTAGGCTGTTTCAGCAGAGTCAGGTTAGGTTCCAGGAGTGCTTCCCAAGAAAGGCACTTACCTCCTCAAAATACTGAGCCAATGACTCCCACTTCATAGGAACGACCAAAGGAGCGACTTGAACCCAGCCCCAAGCCCAGCCCGTGGCACTCTCTGTTTCAGCTCCATCTCCCTTGCGAAAGTCTCATCTCCAGGCAAGTTTTCTACCTAGAAAAAGCAGCATTCCTCACCGTTCCCATCAGCAAATACTGCATGAGCACTTGCACTTCCTTAGGGTGAGCCTTTCCAACCCCACCATTCTATGCTGTTCCTTGTGCCATGCAGGTTTTATCTGTCAGAAGGTACCTGCTGGTGTCTTACAGGAAGCGATACCTCTGGCTGTGAGAAGGTACTCCCAGTGCCATGAGCTGGGCCTGCAGTACAACCAGAACCGTGTGCATCCATCCTTTTCCCTGCAGCAAGGACCAATCCAGTGTTGGGGTTTACTGAAGCACCGCTGGCTTTCATTTGTTGCTGTACATATTTTAGGAAGCTTTGCTTTCCATGAACAGAATGATGCCTGTTTTACAGGAACCTGTGAATGGTGCTTGCAGCAACTTGCTCTTTTATGGCTATTATCTCTGTAAACCCAGCTTTTCATTGACAGGACTCACTGATTTTGGGGGGGGGGGGGGTAGGATACTAAAGTGAAATGAGTGCAAACGGTGCCATTTCAGAGCTCTAGAGGATTCTTAATAACTTCAATAATACTTTTATCCCCAGCTATGCATAGCCCGCTAGGACATTAAAATAGATTGTGTTTTCTTCTTGCCCTTTGTGCACATCTGTGCAATTGCTTAATACAGAATCATTGCAACATGCCTGGAAGATGAATCATACCCTGCCCCCTTTATTTGGGTTATGTTTTTTAAGGCAAAGAATGCTATGGATTTGGAAACCATTAACACAGCAGTGCTGCAGTAAGGCACTCACCCTACCCTCAGGCTTCTAGCCAGCTCAGTGGTTTTAAACCATGGGCACAGCCCAGCACATTCATTCACTCCTCACAGGCATAAACACCTTGAATCAATCCAATTGAAACCACATTGTAAATGTACCTCTTCCACTTGGTTCTGTTTCTTTGTTTCTCTCCACGTTGTTTCCTCCACCATAAGGCTGGCTCTTGGGTCACACAGGATGTGCCCTTCGGGGGGAGGACTTGGGAACAAACAAGAGCACACAGACTTGCAGCTCTTCACACTGACTGCCATGTCTAATAGTACCGAAATCAATGCTCACTGCTGCGTTCCAAGGTCAGTGCAGCCACTGCCTGCTCTGAGTGCTCTGACTGCTTTCTGGTTAGCTCCTTCTGGCCCAGGCTGCCTGTGCTTCACTGTTCAGCTTTCTTAATCGAGTTAAGGAACACTGGAAGTGTTTGTTATATTTGGCACAGATGGGAGAGGTGGCAACACTTGGCTAGGAGTAATTGTCCCAGTGTTTGCAGAGCAGATGGCTTAACAGTTGCCATTTGCTTTAACCAGAATCAGCAGGGGAACTACATGCAGCTTCAAGTGTTAACACCTCTTTCTTTGAACTCTGCTTGAAGGCAGGAGATACATTTTTCTATACATAGGTATTTAGAAAGGAAAACCCCATCATTTTGTTGATTGCTCCCCCTGTGGAAGAGTTGTTCATCATTCCCCCTTGTACTCATCAAAATAGAGCAGCTTTCAGTTCATCAATGTACCAGTTGTGTCTTACTGCAAGTGTTTGCATTACTCACCTTTTAAGTCATCAATCCAAGTAGTGTGCAGTTAGCAGGTCTATCAGATGTTGGAAGAACAGTTATGTGGGGCTGGAAGGCTGAACAAGGTGGCTTTCAACACTGGGTAATCCTCTGCAACATCCACGTAACCTCACATGTTAAAGATCCAAGAGCATGGCACTGGATGCAAAAAGCACTGGACTGCAAAACCCCTCATTCCCCACTAGGAACAAAGTCCCACTAAAGGAAGATCTGTAGCTAAGGTGTGTTAGTATCTAACACAAAGCACACGGTGCCATCCAAGTGGCAGTATGTTCTCAGGGTGCTTCACAAACATCTCTCCTCTGCTACAAGGGACTGTAGATCAGTCGCCTCTGGTGATACTATGGTAGGAGTATAGGCTCATCTCAGAACACAGCCTCAGGCAAAAAACATGTAAGTATTAATATTTAATTCCTTATAAAGTATTTGGAAAGCTTTTCATTAAAAACATTTCTACCAGCTCTACATGACTCAAACACACTCCTTATCACACCAAGAACAAGCCCAGAAAGCACATTTTAAACACTGAATAGAACTCAGAGCACTACAGACTGAATACACTGCTCTAAAAATCTCTGCTCTTACCTCTCTCCGTTATTCCCCCTTGACCCACAAGGGAGGGCAGGCACGGTTTTATGGCTGTAGATTACACAGACAGGTTCCACCTGGTACCTCCTTGTGTTACCTACACACACACCTGGGAAGCTTCCTCCTCCAGCAGATAAGCTCTGCAGGGAGGAAAGGAATGGGGCCTGCCAGCCTTGCCTGTCCCACAGGGCTGAACAGAGGCTGCAGCCCTTTAGTAGCAGAGCTGCTTCTGAACATAGGATGAGCTGACAGCGTAGGGGCATTTGTCTTGACTGCTGCTTCTTTTGGTACTCTTTGGTAGCAATAAGAGGGATTAAAGCAGACCTTTTAGATAATAGAGAACAGAACAGGGATTACTGCTCCTAACCTGGAACCTGCCCCAGCCACATCGTCCTTTCTCTCCATTTCTTTTAACCTGTTGCTGAAGGGTTTACAGTTTGGCCTTATGAACTGTGGCAATACCAGTATCTGCTCCCCAGAGGCTGGGAAATCAGCTCGCAGTTGGCTGTTGGAACAGGCAAGAGCTGGCATGCTGGTCTGGGTTTTCCCCTTTCCCAGCAAGTTGGTGCAACACCCGACTTGGAGCCAGTTCATCTCAGAGAAGAATGAAGGCCTTGCTGCTGTATTCAGTGCTTGGGGTCCAAAATATCCCAGACCTTTTCCAGCATCACTAGGGCCAGGGCCTCTCCCATGTACCTGTGTGTGATGGTTCTCCCTCTTGTTTCAGTGCTTCCAGAGTCACACCTGCCCACTGGGACTTGTGCTTAGCTTGAAACAGTCAAAGGAGAAGGTGATAGCAGTGGGCACCCTTAACCAAGAGAATGGATGTTCAGCAATGAGAAGGCTTAAGTGTAATGACTTTCTCAATACCCCAAAAACCCCCAACCAGAATAGGATTGTTAGCAGCTGTGACAGATACAGAATGAATCCTATTTTCATGGCCAATCCATCTGACAGTGTCAGAATTACATAGCTGGAAGCAAGCAGCTTGTTACCAGCTTCAGGCATGGGGTTAAGTGTACAACAGGAAGATCCCATCTGCAGAGTTTCCACCTTCACCATTAATGGTGTTTTCTTAGCAAGAACATTCATTCTTAAGGTAATGCTTTTTTTCTCTATGGGATTCTTGGGAGCTTCTGCTACCTTATCTGTGGAAAAAGCCATTCCCTGTAGCTGGGCTCTTGCTGGGCAAGAAGTTCCCTTCCTCACTGTCTTTCAAAGGGCTGAAGTGACATGTTGGGAAGGAGATTACTGGGCACAAGCATTTCATGCCCTACCAGTAATATCTCCAATAAGCAGAGTTCTGATCACATCATAGGCATCATTCTCTGCTCTCCACCCACAAGGGCCTTCCAGCAGCAGCGGGACGGTTGGTACCACACTACCTGTTTAATTAAACATGCCTCCTTCAGGTTGGGTGGTTATAAAGGAATACTGGGATTTAAACTAAAGGTTTAAATCACAGAATCCCAGCCTGGTTTGTGTAGGAAGGGATCTTTAAGCTCATGCAGTTCCAGCCCCTGGCAGGGACACCTACTAGGGCAGCTTGCTCCAAGCCCCTGCGTCCAGCCTGGCCCTGAACACTGCCAGGGATGAAGCATTTACCACTTCTTTGGGCAGCCTCAGCCAGTGCCTCACCACTCTCACAGTGAAGAACTTCTTATATCTAACCCTGTTTCAGTTTGAACCCATTACCCCTTGTCCTGTCACTCCAGTCCCTAATGAAGAGCCCATCCCCAGCATCCCTATAGGCCCCCTTCAGATACTGGAAGCTGCTCTTCTCCAGGCTGAACAGCCCCAACTTTCTCAGCCTGTCTCCATACAGGAGCTGCTCCAGCCCCTGAGCATCCTCGTGGCCTCCTCTGGACTTGCTCTGACAGCTCCATGTCCTTATGCTGAGGACACCAGAGCTGCACACAATGCTGCAAGTGAGGTCTGTGAGAGCAGAGAGGAGGGGCAGGAGCACCTCCTTCGACCTGCTGGCCACGCTCCTTTGGATGCAGCTCAGTATAGGTTAAAAAGAGAGAGGGAGAGAAAGACTCCACATTCCTCCACTGCATTCATATTTGCTATGCTCTTGTGTTTTGTAGTCCATTAACATCATGGAGCGGACACTGCAGAAGTACGGCAGCTATGAGAGGTTTGAGCAGGCCACCGGAGGCAGCTTGCTGACCAAGAGTCGCATCTGGAACCACGTCAGGAAGTACATGGTGAAAGAAGGCTGTCTTGGGGAGGTAAGTCACCCACTGGAGCTCTTAGAAATGACACGTGGATGGGCCCCAGGGACCATCTGCGAGGCCTTTCCTCCTTAATGGAAACAGTATTCCTTACATCCTATTCTTCTCATGGCTGGGCCCAGTCTAACTGCTGAACAATTGGAACGATGCAGATCCCTTGTGAATGCTTCAGCCATCTCCGAGCCTCTTTCCTCATCCATCTGTGCCTGCTCTCAAATTCACCTCTATGGGGAGTACCCCAGAACAACACCCTTCCTTCCCTTTATTCAGCTCCTTGGAGACCAGCACATTCCCATTTATGCACCAGTTCTGCCACCCGCTCTCTTGGGTCAAGCACCAAAGGAAAGAGTTAAGGAAAGGCCAAGAAAAACAAGCAGCAGTCCAGGAGGCTGATTTATAGGGAGCAGCACAAAGGGAAGTGACATAAGTGAATGGAAATGCCTGCAAGAGGGTGGCGTGTTCAGTTGGTTTGAGTGCCTGACTGTAAGCACCTCATTTTTAGACCCCTATGCAAAACACCCTGATTTCCACCCTTCAGAATGTCCAAAGTCCCCTTTGACCAAGTTACACAGAACTGATGGGAAAAGTCAGATGAAACTGAATATATGAGGAGAGAATTACTCCAGATGAAAGCAGCAGCTGCCCCAGCCCAAGGCTTGGGTGAGATCACTGGCAGTGAGCACTGGGAGCTCAAGAGACAAAAACCAGTTTCCTAGGAACTAGGTTTCATTTGCAAACATGATATTATTAGGAGGAGCTGTTAAACTCATGACTCCGTCTGGGGAGGCTCCAATGGGACACTGGTACCAGGCTTCAGCTGTCTCTAACACTGAGGTTATAAAACTATAGTTTAGAGGAAGCAGAACAAAAATACCACATTTTGGGTCTTCGCTGTGCTTTTACCTCCCTTTGCCTCCATTTTGTCTTGGGTTGTCTTCATGGAAGTAGGGCCCTACATCCTCACCAACCATCCCACATCCTTCTCCAGGAAATGCTTTCCTTTTTCTGCAAAAGCAGGGTTCATACATCACCCTTAGCATGCTCGAAAATGCTCTCTCAAGTCGGAGAGGTGTTAAAGGGAAGTGGTAAATCTAAATCCTTCCTGCATCCTAAATACAGGATTGATGGGACTGACAGCTGAGTGATGGGGCTTGAACACAGGGAAGTGTCATGTTAATGCCATTGACCCCTGCCTGGGTCCTTTTCTGCTAACTGATACTAAAAAACTCTCTCTCTTGTAGGTACTCCCCCCTGTACTCCTCTGAGCAGTGCTGTTTCTGTAGGCATTACATGAAGAGGGAAAGATGCTTACTTAGTCTTCAGCAAAGAGTTTCCCTTCTTCCTCCCATTCACTTGTTTAAAAGTCTTTTTAAACTCAAAAATGACCAAATACATCAATTTGCATCAATGTCCTTCTCTGGCAGCTTTTGTTTTGATTACCAGTTTCCCACTGGTAATCAGAAAGTAAGAACTAAATGGTATATAAATATAGACACACCATTTATACGTACACCAAACATACATGTATGGTCTGTATATTTGTTTTCCTGGCATAAACTAAACCAGTACCAGTATTTTAATGATACCTCAATTCTGCATCATGTAGCAGGGGATCAGGTACAGAGTGCTTCCCCCTCTTACTGATATGGCTTTCGAATTGCAACTAAGATGGTTTCAGACAGTCGAGTATACAGACACCAGTTCAGTTGTGTGTGCTTGTCTGGTGTTTCAGTTCTCAGTAGTACCAAGGTATGTAGGGACAGCTGAGGAAATCAGGTGTGTGTCTCAGTGCACACGCTGAGACCTGAGGCCTGTCAGCAGCACAGACAGCTCAGGGGAGTCACAAGAGGCTCTCCCACTCCATTCCTGGGAGCAAAGAAGAGCTGTGAAGGTGAAGGGACCAGCGAGTACTGCACTAATGGGGGGGTCAGAGGGGGAAGAGAGCTCTTTGCTACCTGCACTCTCTCATCTTCAGATCGTGGTCCATCTCACGGAGGACCTGCTGTCTCGAGCCTCAATGACAGTGCTGAACGGCCGCCCCACTCTCACTATCAACATCTCCACTGCGCGAGAGCACTGGCTGGAAGGGATGCTGAGGCATGAAATTGGTACGAGCGTGACATCAGTTCTCATGCAGAGGGCAGTGCTTGCATGCCTTCTTACTTGTCTTGCAATGATGGCCAGGCACTGTACATCTACAGAAGGAACATTCCTATCTGAAAACCTATGCTGTAGGTTCAAGGGAAGGAGAAGCCTGTTTATCACTGCACCGTGCACTGAAAGCATTCCTAGGGTTCATGCACATCTGCATTGTAGGTTAGGTCAGGAGTGAGCTTTGGAAGTGAGCCCCGCAGCTCTCCCACTTACCGCACTGAGGAACCTTGGAGCAGGCAGAGTGTCATCCCCCAGATGATGCTAGCTGAGAGGCTCTGCTCCGGCCATACCTCCTGTGGTGTCACTGCTCAGGGGCGTTTTGCTCAGGAGACCAGTTTAGAGCCAGTCTGCAGTTAAAAACAACAAAGGGAAACAAAAAGGTGCAAGTTCAACCTCAGCACCAGCCGTTTCACGGGGTAAATCTGCTTCCATTCTGCTGCACTGCTTGCAAAGTAGGCGTGCTTTAGGTGTGAAGGATTTACCCAGTGCCCCCTAAAATGGGGCAAGATTGCCTTGGGTTTGCATTACACAAGCTTGGCCCAACCCTATGGAAGGTGTCTGTAAGGTTTTCAGTGACTTGCTCAAATCAAGTACATCAAAACTGGGTGAACCTGGCTACTGCCTGGATTTCAACTGGAGACTCACATAACCCACACTGTCAGGGGACACAGCCTCTTCCAAAGCAATGGTAGGGCTGGGAAACCACCTTCAAGAGGCAGCATTTCTGCCTGCTCACTCTGATTCTCCTTCCTTCTGTCCATTACAGTGCCTGGCCTATGCTAGAGGCGTTCAGCGTGTAAGGTGCTGTTGGGAATTCCTTTCCATGGATTTGGGAACTCGAGCCCCTGCTGACATTTGTTTTCCTTAGGGATTTGTGGGAGTCCCATTTGCAGGCAGCAGGTGAATAATTGCACCGTGTGCCTACATCAGACAGAATTCGCTGTTGTAGACAAGTGCCCAGTCCTACCAGTTCGGAGTAGGCATCTCCTTCCACATTACATATATATATATATGGGAATCATTAGATGCTACCGTTGTAAGTCCCATACTCTTTTCTCTTCAGGAACTCATTACTTTCGGGGTTTTAACAACAACAGCCAGCCTTGGTGCAACTGGAACGGACGCAGAAAACATGGCCTGAAGCCAATCAACCCCACAGAAGAGGGGCTGGCAAGCATCCACAGCGTCCTGTTCCGCAAAGACCCCCTCCTCTGGAGAGCTGCCCTGCTCTACTACACCGTGTACCAGGCCAGCCACATGTCCTTCAGCCAGCTCTTCCAGGACCTGGGGAAGTTCGTCAGGGACCCCAACACTAGGTGGGATTACTGCGTACGAGCCAAGAGGGGGTGGACTGACACATCACAGCCAGGTGCGTTCCCTCTTTGTCTTCCCTGCTGTTGTACCCCAGGCAGGTTTTCCTCGTGTCACCCACTAAAACCTCTTCCAAACAGGGCCGTGGGACTGTGCCCTGTCCCAGATGGGGCAGCAGGATTCCTGCTGTAGGGAACAAGGTTGGAAATGCACCTCCGTGGGGCTTCCAGACCGAATGCACTCACGGATGGGGTTTGTTCTTGGAAGTGGGGATGGAAACTGCAGAACCCTGAAGGAGTTCACACAGTCTGACCTCCTTTGGTGTTTATTACGAGAGGTGTAACAGTGCTGGGGGTGCTCACAGGCACCATTTCTGCGTCTGGTTTCTTTCCCTGGCTGGTGGGTTTAGCCCTCTACTGCCTTTGGGGGAAGGTTTGCAAAGCCTCAGATACAAACACCTGGTTTGTTAAAAACACAGTGGCTCTGCCCATGATGGCTCCTGGAATGTGCCTTGAACAGACCCTGATGGAGTACAGTGTCTCCTGCTTCCTTTTAGGCTGTTTCAATAAGGATCAGGTGTACTTGGATGGCATCCTCCGACTCCTGCGATACAGGGACTCCATTGATTTCTACCTTCTGACAGCCCTCGGGAAGGTGAGTGCTCTCATTCCTACCACAGCTGGTTCATTCCAGCAGAGCTGGGAGTCACCGTGCTCTGCTTCCCTTCAGTCTCTGTTCTGCACAGCACCCGTATCACACACTGCAAGTTACAGATACCTGAGCTCCAAACAAATCTGTACCAGCTTCTCCTCATTCCTCACTTATCACATTCAAGAGTTTATGGTCATATTCCTCAGACTTCCCTCCCTTTACAGCTGGTATCTGACTTGCAGTACAATGGACTGCCTTGGGCAGCTAGTGCTGGGTAAGGTGGTGGTCCTGGTCGAAAGCAGAATGAACCATTTGATGCTGACACATCCCCATCCACAACAAGGAGTTTGCCATTTAACACTTCTCTCACTGACGGCACCTGCAGTGATTTGTAAAGCTCAGTTGGTTTTGTTTCTTTTCCCCCAATACACGTCAGTTTTACACTCACAGAACAGGTTTTGTGTCACTCTAACTGCCATTGCTTGTTTGCTCTCAAAGTCACAATGAGGAGTGCAGAAACTGTCACGCTTCCTGAACCAGAGCCTTCCCAGTTCATAAAGCAGGGCTCATACTCACATAAACCAGGATTCAAATCCATGTTGTTATGCTTCCATTCAGAGCTGGTACACCACCGTTTCTGCCTCCTTGGCCATCAGTGGGCTATAAAGGGAAGCGGCATGTTATGATGGAGGGTTTTGGTCCACACGTGTTGCCTTTAGTGTCAGAAGTACCCATACTGGTGAGCAGAGCTGTTCAGGGAACTGAACCAAGGTGAGAAGCTCTGAACAGAAAATTGCACTATCAAACAAGCCTCTGCAACCTTCACCTCTGAAACTTGCTTTTGCTTCAAGCCTGCTTAACTCCACCCAGCTTATGCCTGCTGAAATACCGAGTTCACCCTGCTTCATGCCCTTCTCTCTGCAGGGAGTCTGCAGGATTGTCAAGCCACTTGAGAAACATGCCAAGGCATTAGCCATACGATTACAGACTCTCTACAACCACATGGCAAGGCGTTCACATTAGAGGTCTACAAGCAGTTTAATTCTAGTGCTTGACTTTAAACTCCTGAAATCGAGAGAGGGGTCTAAAAGAGCACTCTGAATGGTTTTGCTGCATTCCCCTTTTGCAGTCCAACTGGAAACCTGTGTGGAAGAGCAGGGCCTGCTCCCCAGCATCACAGAACCACAGAGGTCTGCAGGCACCTCTCCAGATGAGCCAGTCTGAGCCCTGTGCTTGAGCACTGTCAGCTAGGGACGGTTGCCCAGGACCGTGTCCACTTGGGCCTTGAATATCTCCTCTGATGGAGACTCTGCAGCCTCTCTGGGCAGCCTGTGTCAGTGTTTCAGCACCCTCACCATAGAAAGGTGTTTTGTGTTCAGATGGCATTCTGTGCATTCTAACCCCCTGCCTCTTGCCCTGCCAGTGGGCACTGCTGAGAAGAGCCCAGATCCCGTGTCATTCCCTCCCATCAGGTGTTCATGATGGTAGAATCAGCCTGAGCCTTCTGCAGGCTGAGCAGCCCCAGCTCCCTCAGCCTTTCCTCATGGGAGAGATGCTGCAGTGCATTCACCTTGCTGACGCTTACTGGTCCTGCTTCAACACCTCCATACAAGAAAAGCAAGTTCTGGGAGCACAGGGAAACACAGAGCTTGCACTGAGCTCCAGGCTGTGCTTACTCTGAGTTTATCACCCTTCTAAAGGGTGATTGGTTTGTTTGTTAAGGGTGGAATGGGAGGATCAGGTTGTTCCAGAGGGAGTGTGAAGCATGGCTGGCCTGGCTGCCAGGTTAGACCAAGGAGCAGATGGTTTAATATAGGGAAGGCCAGCATTTACTGGGAATATTTGCATTGCCTTTGGGTTGCATCGTAACAAACGAGCTCATCTTTCTCAGCGTGACTACCGTGGGCATCTTTCCATTGCAAATACAATGAGGATATGAACATGATAGGGAACCACAGCAGTCAACTGGAGTGCTGACAACAAACAGCTTCTGTGCTTTAGCAGGTAGCTAACACAGTAGTAAAATCAAATCACTGTGTTGAAGAACTGAATGTGTTTAAGGCAGAGCCATGCTGAAGCCTGTGTGTCTCCTGTTTTCATTCAAGCACTAAAGATCAGGCTGATGGAGGCAGCCGTGCCTTCCTGATGCTTCTGACATTGCTTACAATGCAGTAGAGAGCAGTGTGTGGGAACAGAACACATGCAGGCTGGCCAGCGTACCTGAAAGTGCCTAAGGAAAGAGCCTGAAGCCTGAAAATGTCCTTTTGAGAAGGAGCAGTAGGATGAAAACCTGGTTTGTTGCCCTCAGGATGTGAGTTTCCTTCAGCAGTTGCAAGGACTGGGGAAACACATCCCATTCAAAGCATGCCTCAGAGCAGATAGTTGTTTCTGGGTTGCAGCAGTAACAGAAACCCTGAACAGAAAGGTGGAAAGTGCCCCTTTTCTTGCCTTTGGAAAGCAAAGAGGTAGCATTTCAAGTAGGGACGGGAAGGAAGCTCAGTATTCAGTCTCATTTACTGCTGTGCCTCCAGACTGAGAGATGATATGATTTCATACAGCCCTTCTGTATCTACTCCTGATCAGGTGCAGTGCCACACCATCTTCAAACAGCAGCATCCCAGTGACTTGAGGAACCCTGGGCATGGGCGTAGGCTTGGCTATTTCACCAGGGTGTACCCTGTAGCTGGGAAAGCAGGGGTGTGCACCCAGCTGCACGCTCACTCTCCTTGCAGCCTTTGTTCCTGTTGTCACCAGTGAGATACGCAGCTATCTCTGGCCGCCTCCATGAATCAGGCTTGGTGTTCTGGGTAACACCACCCTATCTTTCCAGAGAGCCCTTCCACGGCCCTTGTACATTGGTGGATCATTCATGCTCACTTTACCCTTTCCCAAGCAGAAACCATCACTTGCTAAGAGGCCAGACTGTTCCCAGGAGCGCTCAGCTCCTTACTGGAACACAGGGTGGAAAGGGTGGAAGGCTCCCTCCCACCCCACCGCACACAAACCCGCTGTGAGGAAGCAGGATGCGCCAGGCAGCAAGCACAGCCAGGCTTGGGGTTTGCCAGTACCTATGCTTCTGTCTGCAGGGCACCCAGGACACACAGGGTTAGACAAAGCACCGGCCACATGGATAGCATCACACTGGGTGGCTGCCCAAGGAGCCCAGTCCTGTCCTTACGGGCCCCACAGCTAAAGCATTGATCCTTCCTGCACCATCACTCACAGCACCCTGAGCTACTGTGGGCTCAGGACTTGAAGCCTTAGCTTGTAGAATCATGAGGCTATGGAGAAAAATCTCAGCTTCCATTAGGGAAGAAGTAGTGTGTCCTGTAGTAGCTGGAAAACACTGGGGAGGGTCACACCTATACCCAGAGAGCTCTGGTCTCCAGTGGACAAGTGGCAAACCCAGTCTCTGCCATGCTATTGAATGGGAAAAACCACAAACCGGGGTGCTTAAGGGTTGCCCATGCTATAGTAAGTTACCAGAGGTGCCTTTTAATTTACCTTTGCATAAGCACAGTGCTAGTGAAAACAAAAGCATCAGAGTCCAGGTCAGCTGCCACCATGCCCTTCCTAAAGCTGGAGCCTCCCTGCTTCCCATAGCATGCTGTCCTGCACTCCCTTCCTAATCCCCCAGGCTTTGGCACAGTGTTTCTGCCATTCTCATGTCAACCTTCCCACCTCTGAGAAGAGACTCCAGTGTGCTCCATTGTTTCCCCCTCAGCTCCTGCAGCTGCTGTAGGTCATTCTCATCCAGGGTGCCACCAGTGTGTTCACTGATTGCACCGAAAGCAGCACCAGGCAGTGGGGTATTTGCTCAAATGGTATGGGGTTTTTTGCACCTTCCACTGAGGCACACGGTTCCTCAGAGGATCACAGAACGGTCTGGGTTGGAAAGGACCTTAGAGCTCATCTACACCCAACCCCACTCACGTTTTCAGAGGTCTCACAAGCTTTTAAATCCCCAAATGCTCCAAAGTATTTTCTCACCTACAAGAGAGCATTCGGAGTCACAGCAGAGGAGTAAGAGGCCTGCAGTGTGGAGCTAAACCATGCCCTTCCTTGCAGATCTCCTATGAAGATGTGGACCGCCTGAAAGGATTAGCTGTGATTGAGAACATGAGGGTACCACACTTCCTGCAGGACCATGCCCGCTACATGGAGCACCTGGAAAAGATCATGCAAGTCAATGAGCTGACTGATGAGGAGCTCCAGGGTCTCATCGATTAACAGCATCAGCCCACCATTCACGTACGCTGGGAGGATGCAGAACTGCACTCCCAGGAGCTTGTGAAAGTGGAGTTAGGAGAGGCGGCATGGGAAGGGAAGCCAGAAGGTGTGGAAGTGGGGAAAAGCCCCTTCGTGTTCCTCTTGCATTGTGATTGTATCCTCATCATTCTTTAAGGGGTTTGGGCATTGTTTTTACATGTGGCTTAGAAGTTGTTTTGCAGTGATCTGTCCAATCATCTGCTCTGTTTTATATGCTTGGTGTAGTGCTTGACACTGTCTTTTGTAATATACTGCCTTTCCCCACCCGGGTTTAGAGGTGGAGGAGAGGAGAGAGAGGAGAAATCCCCCCTCAGTTCTCTTGTATTTGCCCTGTCTTTGCTCATAGTTTTCATGGTTCATAGCAGCAGAACTTCTGCAGATGGATTCTACGCTGCCACCTGCAGAACTCTTTATGATTTGGTCCCCATTGCAATGAGAAGAGAGTTTAAGAAGAGAGCGCACAGAAGCAGGTCTCTGTGCCATGGGATCAAAGCTTTGTAAGGCTCAGAAAGGTCTCTTTGTTTTTAAATGGGAGGCAGCATTTAAAAAGAAGAACCTGTGCTGGTTTAATCCCACACTGGGTTGGGCTGGAAGGGACCTGAAGGCTCATTCAGTTCCAACCCCCTTCCACTGGAGCAGCTTGCTCCGAGCCCTGTGTCCAGCCTGGCCTTGAGCACTGCCAGGGATGCCAATGACTGTAAGCAGGTAGCAGTTATTCCCCTTCATCGCCTCAAAGACTTGCACTGTCCCACATCTTTCCCTGTATTATACCTGTTTCAGGAAGCTGAATTCCTGCCTGATTCTCCCTCCCTGGAGGACCAGCAGGGCCTGTCTGGGATGCTCAATGTGGCAGGATGAGGCAGAACTGTGATTTGATGTCTTGTGTGCTTTAGATAAACTCAGGAGCACAGGGGCAAGCTTCAGCACCCCAGGCAACACCCCCCTGGGCCACCTGATGGTGACATCAGCTCGTTGAGCAGCACTCCCATATTACAGCAGCCTCCAGGCTCCTTGAAGAACCAAGGTGTGAATGGGGGAAAAGAAGCCTCACAAGTGCCCTATTCCTGTGTTCCAGCACTACTCTGAAGCAGCCTTACCTCTGTTTTAACTGCTGGTGCTATATCCAGGCCCAAGAAGAGAAAGCACCTTACTGGAAGGCATGGCCAGACCCATGATAAATAGCTCAGATGATGCAGGAGGACGTGTGACATAAACTACATTGATTCCAAAGTATGATGGTCTTACCAAGGGGAATAGAGGTTTTGCACCTATAAGCATTCTGGCAAAGGCCTTTGGTTTAGCAGACAGCATTTTACCAAGGCTGCAATTTCTTCCCTTCAGCCTTGGCACACTGGCAACAGGCCTGGCAGTGGGTAAGGCAAGGAGATGAAAGCAAATTCCCTCCCCACCACATCTGCATGGTGTCCCTCCCTTCCCATTTACCCTGTTCGTCAATGGAACAGGATGGAGTAAGTCTTTAACCCTGTTTTACACTCAGGTCATTACCAGCCACGGCAGCACAGCCTTGAGAACATGTTTTGTGATCCATAGGGAAACGTGAGTGAAAGCTCCCAGGTGGCCAAGAGGTCTGAAGGCTCTGGAACGATCCCATTAAAGCAGTGCCTCTCTGGTAGCGTTGCAGGTGCTCTTGCAGCAAAGAAAATGCACTCAACAGGCATAGATTTCCTAAATGTGGTTGTTTTCGAGGCAGGGACCGAGCACTGCTCGCAGTAGCCTCAGTTTTGTATTGTCAGCACTGTTCAAAGCTGGGAGACTTCTGCCTCCGTATGAAATCAGAGCCCTTCTTCCCTCCTTCCCCCCTGCAGGCTGTGTAATGGGAGCACTGGTGCTTCCCCTTACAGAGCTGTGCTGAGCAGACAGCGGACTGGGATTGCAGTGCTCTAGAACCACCTGCAGGTGGGTGCCCATGGGCTGGCTCCAGGTCCTGGCCCCTTTGCCAGGAGCAGCAAGGAAGCTGCACAGGGCTGAGGTCGAGTCTAAGGATGCAGCCAGAAGATGCCTCTAGAGCCAACAGGGCAGGGATGATTTGAGCTACCCCATGGAAGACCCTGGCTCACTTTGCTGCCCCAGGCTGCGCCAAAGGGACAGTCCTTTGTGAAAGGGACCACTCTGAACTCTTCCCCTGCCTTCCTCCAGAGACCTCTGCACATGCAAGGTGCTTTCCCCTCTTCCCCATTAGGAATGCATTATCATCTAAGTGTGTGTACATCAGGTGTCCTTGGACCAGGAGGCTGTGCCACCACACCATGCCTGCAGTCCTCCCTCTAGCAGCCAGCTGACTCTCTTGGCACTCCTTAGCCCTAAAGACTACGACAGGCCTTTGCTGTACTCAGAAGCCTGCATCACATTCCTTCGAAGCCACAGGTGCCATTCAACTGCTTCTCTTTGTCATGCTAGGGTTAGATTCACCTCGTGCAAGGCTGGAGCCTGGAGCTGCTCGCTATCAGTGTGATGCCCTAGCAGCAGGTGGAGCCGTCAGCCCCTTTGGCATCAGGTTCGTCCTTCCCCCTTTGCAAAAGCATTGCAGGGTTTGCAGTGCAGCTTTTGTAGGTTTCCCTGGAGCTTCTTGTTCCCTTGGGAAGAGGCTGGTCCCTCAGTCATGCACTGAAGCTGTGTAACAAAGCACGTGGCCAGCAGTGCACATGAGCTCGTGTCCCTACACTGTGACAGCATCAGTGCTGACAGCCTCTCCTAGCAGCTTGGTGCCGTTGCTTTGCTGTGGCCACGTTCCCTACGTGGGTGTTATTCCTGTACAGAAACCTGGTCACCATTGGAAAGCCTCCCTCTTTCATCAGCCCATTTTCAAACACATTTTATACAACTTATAAATAAAGACAAATGAAAGAATGGCTGGGGTGAGAGTACTGAAGCGTTACCTTGTGTGGGGTGAGTGCGTTACTCTCTTTTGACAGCACTGGCTCTATGGCTGCTTGAACATCCCATCATAATACTGTTATTCCCAGCATCCTTGCTCAAACATTTCTCTACCCTTTCTCTTAGGGCCCTCCACGCTGGAGCTATGTCCTAGGTGGGCATCACTTCTGGGAGCCCCAGCACAGGTCCTGCCTGTCCATTGGCACGCTCCTGCTATCCCCCCCATGTTTGCAGTGTCACACATCTCCTCCACCACCCCATGGCTCTTTGAGGCTCCTTCATGGGTCCTGCCTGTCCATTGGCACGCTCCTGCTATCCCCCCCCATGTTTGCAGTGTCACACATCTCCTCCACCACCCCATGGCTCTTTGAGGCTCCTTCATGGGTCCTGGCTGTCCCAAGAGCAAAAGGGATCTCCTTCCTTCTGTTCTGAAGTGAAGGACATAGCATCATAGAACCACAGAACAGTTCGGGTTGGAAAGGACCTTAAGATCATCCAGTTCCAACCCCCTGCCATAGGCAGGACACCTCACTCTAAACCATATCACCCAAGGCTCTGTCCAACCTGGCCTTGAACACTGCCAGGGATGGAGCATTCACAACCTCCCTGGGCACCCATTCCAGTGCCTCAGCACCCTCACAGGAAAGAATTTCCTCCTTGTATCCAACCTAACCTTCCCCTGTTTCAGTTTGAACCCATTAACTGGTTAATTAATGGTTACCACATGGTTACCCAGCCTACAGCCCTGCCCATTGCATCACAACAGTGGATCCCCAGCCTGCTGGGACAGGCTTGTTTCCAAGCATACAGCAAAGCCTGGGGCTAGAGGCAGACATCCTGCTCTCCATCCCAGAGGCGACAGGCAGGGAAAAGCAAGGCACCTATGAGCTGAGCAGCACTGCCACCCTCTGGGTCTCCACATGTGCCTCCATGCGCCCCTGCAGGCACAGGGCAGGAGGCAGGATGGAACCCGAGCACAAGGGCTTCCCCCAGCACCTCCCTGACCCATGGGAGCACCGGGGTGCAGCAGGGCAGGGGGGAAGGTCCCTTTGAAGCAGGGGAGGAAGCCTCACATGCAGAGGGGAAGAGGAAACGAGCAGGAGCATGAAGCATCACATTAAGGTTCCCTGCATACCAGAGGGCCGAGGTGCCCAGCAGGCACACACTGCCACTGATCCCCATGGGAGCAGGCTGGGGAGCAGAAAGGGGGCACGAAGCAACCCCTGCCCTTGCCTAGCAGCGGGGTGCAGGAGCTCTGAGGGGATGGTGTGGGGAAGGAAGAGCTCCCTTGGAGGATGCTCTGGTGAGCAGGAGCCCGGTGCTGGTGCTCCTGCAGCACACGAGGGTTGAGCAGCTCAGGTGTGTGCACTTGCCATGGTGCTTTCTGCTTCAACAGGGCCATGCTTTCACACTGCTGCCAGGGGACACCTCTGGATCACCACCCATCACACAGGGTTATGAGATGGCCTCATCACACAGGGTTACGAGACAGCCAGAAGGATGTCATCAACACATCACCCAGCCACCTATCTCCTAAGCACACGTAGCCTGTGTATAGGTAAGGCAGCACACGAGGGTTGAGCAGCTCAGGTGTGTGCACTTGCCATGGTGCTTTCTGCTTCAACAGGGCCATGCTTTCACACTGCTGCCAGGGGACACCTCTGGATCACCACCCATCACACTGGGTTACCAGATGGCCCCATCACACAGGGTTATGAGACAGCCAGAAGGATGTCATCAACACATCACCCAGCCACCTATCTCCTAAGCACACAATAGCCTGTGTATAGGTAAGGCAGCACACGAGGGTTGAGCAGCTCAGGTGTGTGCACTTGCCATGGTGCTTTCTGCTTCAACAGGGCCATGCTTTCACACTGCTGCCAGGGGACACCTCTGGATCATCACCCATCACACTGGGTTACCAGACAGGCAGAAGGATGTCATCAACACGTCACCCAGCCACCTATCTCCATCACACAGGGTTATGAGATGGCCAGAGGGGTAAGTCATCAACACATCACCCAGCCACCTATGTCCTAAGCACACAATAGCCTGTGTATAGGGAAGGCCTTTCAGCTGCTCTGCTGAGGGGCAGGAGCTTCCCTACCTCCAGATACAGAGGTAAAACTGCAGCTCTGCAATCAAGTGCCTCATAGGAGAGGCCCCCCCTATAAAGGACCATACATAACCTAAGGACACATGCGTGTTCAAGCAGATCCTTCTCTCATGAGGGTTGTTTTACCCCCCTGTCTGAAACCA